AACTAATTATTAATAATTATTAATAAGCTGATTATTATATTCATAAAGCTAATTATTATAATAAGCTAATTATTTTACTTAACTGTTTTGGGTACCCAAGTAGGTTAAGTAGCATGTCATGTCTTGTCATGTCTGCAACATGTCTTGTAGTTTTCTTTTATTCTATTATGAAAGTTAATGAATTATCAACATGTAAACTTTTCTTATAATCATGATTTTGGTATTTAGGATGACTTATACCATTACATCACCTTAAAGTATTTTATTAAGGTTTGTTAAAGCTCTTATAGAGATTTAACTATCTGGTATAACTTTGAGGATATATTGTTTATAAGAATCTATGGAACATGTGCTATGTATCATGTACTTTACTTGGTATATTTTATATATTATTTCTGCTGTCCTCTGTGTTTTCTCAGTTGCTTATTTATTTAATTACCTATTTATTCTAATTATTTCAGTATTATCAGTTTCTGTGGGTCACAGATCCAGGCCCTGCTTCCTTGCATTCTCTCTGAGTCCGGCCAGGTTGCAGTCAAGGCATTGGCCAGACCTGTAGTGTTATCTCAACGTATGACTACAGAATGATACACTTCCAAGTTCATGTGGTTGTTGGCAGTGTCCATTGCAGGCAGTTGGACCGAGGGCCCCAGTTTCTTACTGTCGCTAGGCTGAAGGCAAGGTTGGCAGGTGCTTGCCATGTGGGCCTCTCCACAGGGCAGCTAACAGTTTGGCAGTGTGCTTCATCGAAGCCAGCCAGAGTTGGCTAGCAAGATGGAAATTAGAATGTTATGTAACTTGATCTCTGAAGTGATATCCCATCACCTTAGTTGTGTCCTGTTGGTTAGAAATATAGGTCCAGCCCACACTCCAGGGGATCAGTGGGGACCATTTTAGAGCCATAATATCCCAACTGCTTTATGAAATAGCTTTTACTAAAAAGTATCTAAGGCTCAGAAGTATCAAGAAATTATTGAGGTCACAGCTTGTAAGTACAGGTTTTGAATCTAACCTAGGTCTTTTCTAATTCTGCTGTCTCTTCTATTTTGTTTAACCAAACCGATGATCTAAGTAAGAGAGCAACTAGGAAATCTTAGAATGCTGCAGATTCACGTACCAAAATAAATTTGTTGATTAAATTCCTTACAACCCCTTAGAAATATCATGAGTATAGAAGACTCTTAGTGACTATTGTTCATTAAATTTATCATAAATTCAAATTCTCTATTTGTTTTTAGCCAATGAACTGAATTTTAGGCAATAGAAGAGTTCAGAAAATTATTGATTTAGTTTAGAGTTATAGTGGTTGATAATGGCATAATGTTTTCCAGAGTGCCAGAATTAATAAATTTGAACTTTATTATTATTAGAGTGACCTTAAAATTATTAGCTCAAAATCCAGAATTGTTTAAACTATTCTTAAGAAATATTTTATGCAGTACATAGACTGTTTCTTAACCTTTTTGGATTATGGACTGTTTGAATAATCTTTGGGAGATAAATTAAACCTTCTCCCAGAAAAGTTCTCATACAGAAATTTTTTTCATCTCATTTAGCTGTGGCATTATGACCGCACTAAAACCCGCTCATGGTTCAAGGACATATCTATGAAATTACAGATTAAGAACTTGATTCAAAGGGTTTTATATATATATATATAATATATATATAATATATATATATACACACACACAATAAAATATTATTCAGTCACTAAAAAAAAGGAAATCTTGCCATTCGCAACAGCATGGATAGATCTAGAGAGTATAATGCTAAGTGAAATAAGTCGGAGAAAATACCATATGATTTCACTCACATGTGGAATTTAAGAAACAGTAAACAAAGGAAAAAAGGAGACAAACTAAAAAACAGACTCTTAACTATAGAAAACAAACAGATTATTATCAGGGGGTAGAGGAGAATGGGTGAAAGAAGTGAAGGGGATTAAGAATATACTTATCTTAGGGTGCCTGGGTGGCTCATTCAGTTAAATGACTCTTGATTTCGGCTCAGGTCATGATCTCACGGTTCTGAGCCTTGGCTCGGTGCTCACTGTGCAGACCCTGCTTGGGATTCTCCCTCCCTCCCCCGCCCCCCCCCAAAAAAAAAAGTTTGTCTTGATGAGCACAGAGTAATGTATAGAATTGGTGAATCACTGTATTGTACACCTGAAACTAGTATAACTATAATGCTGTATGTTAACTACACTGGAATTGAAAAGAAAAGAAAATAATGCTTTGTGCCATTTGAAAAAAAACCCTAAAGTGTTCTTTTTCTTTTATTTTCTTTTTTTCTTTCTTAGTGCAAGCGGGGGAGAGGGGCAGAGGGAGAAAGAGAGGGGGCGGGGGGAAAGAGAGGAACTTAAAGAGACTCCATGCTGTCCGTGCAGAGCCCGATACGGCACTTGATCCTGAGACCCTGGGATCATGACCTGAGCTGAAATCAAGAGTTGGACACTCAACTGACTGAGCCACCCAGGCGCCCCTCCTAAAGTGTTTTCTAATGATAAGAAAACATTAATTTTAGGGAAAGTAATTTTTTTTGCTAATCTCTTTTATAAGAGATTAGCAGAAAAAATTTATTAAAACAATAAAGTTTTATTGTTTCCTAAGCATTAAAGTTAGAAGTTGTTGAGTACCCTTTTTTCTCTAGCACTCTAAGCAACTCTTGACATATAGTAGGTAGTCAACAAATGCTTAATATATTAATGAATTAATTTCAGAATATCAAATGAAACACTTGTAAAATACTTTTTTCTGGTTGGGAAAATGAAACTTTCTCATTTGAATAGTACTGATATTTGACATCAGAGATCTGACCACAGGCCTTTCAAGGTGCATGTTATTTTATCATCATATTTGAATATAAATTCAAATTAGTGTTTTTATATTTTAAGGTAAATGAGCATTTGAAAGACATTATGGAACAAGAACAGAAATTGAAAGAACATCACACAGTTGAAGCTCCAGGAGGTCAAAAGGTATATATTTCAAAGAAAATAAGGTGTCTTTATGAGACTATGTTCACATGTATGTGTTGTTTGGGAAATACATATATTAATTAATAGATATGTTCATTAAATTGTTTTTTGGTGGTGTTGTGTGCCCTAGAAAGCAGGTCATAAATACCAAGTGAGTAGAAGTGCAAAATGAAGGTTAATCGGGTGGAGGTATTTAGGAAAAATTGTTAATGATTAGAACTCAATTTGTGGACTACTTGGCAGAAATAATGACTTTGCCTTTGGCAAAACGTATGAAACAGAAAACATTTTCAGTGTACCAGCCTTACAATGACTTCTCTTAAGACCAGCCTTTTAAATATATTCCAGTAATTGTAAGTTGTACATATGGTTATTCTGTGAAGAAAGAAGCAACATTAATATGGATTCATTCTTTAAAAATTCGTGTGGCTTTTAGAGTTTCCTTCTTTGAAAATTTGTGTTTTTGTTATAATGAGAGCTCTTTAATCATGTTGTGTAGCATTTGAATTGAGGTGTAAGAAATTATAATTATTCAGCAACCTTATTTTCCAATTTGGATTATTTAAAGTTTATTAATATACAGTTTTTCTATCCATTTTGGGCTAATGCTCCTGGTCACTGATACCTCTGTAAGAAGAGAAAGAGAAAAAAGGAAGGAAAGGGAAAGCTGTTTTGTGTATTATCAACTTCAACAGAAAACTTTGTGGGAGACCACCTAAAATTTTGTCAGAACTTGATGTTTCGGCATCACAGTGAATTCCCTCATTTAGCTTACTGACTAGCTCCTGAAAATACTATCCATACTTGATTCTTCATCCTAACTTTGTTGATGTCCTTTCCCCCTAAAGGTACATGAGAATGGAAATATTTTTTTTCATCACCCAGATCACATACTCCATTTCCCTGCCTTCTACCAGCTTCTGCCTCTCTCTTCCCTCCTGCTTCCTCACCCTCCCCCACCTCCCGCCATTGCCGTCCTTCCCTATTAGTTTCCCTCCTTTTCTCTTTCTCATCCCGTAGGAGTTGAAACCTCTGCCCCCAGTTTTGTGCCTGGAACTAATTGGGAGTAAGTTAGATGGCATCATCCTAAATTATAATACTAATGGCCTTTTTCCATGATTATTTAAATGATTAAATCCTATAGTATTGCATACACATCATGAACTAAATAGGGATTTTATATGCTGGCATAGGACCCAATAAACATTATTTCTGTTGGGGGAAAAATGCCATTTGTATTCCGAACAGAGTAAGTAAGCCTTACTTTTCTTAAAAGCTATATGGAATCTGGACACCACTTGTATTATACCTCTTTGACTTTTTTAAAACTATTTTTTAAGTTTATTTATTTATTTTGAGAGAGAGAGAGAGAGAGAGCATGAGTAGGGGAGGGGCAGAGAGATGGAGAGAGAGAGAGAGAGAGAGAGAGAGAGAGAATCCCAAGCAGGCTCTGCACTGTCAGCACAGAGCCTGACGAGGGGCTTGAACCCACAAACCATGAGATTGTGACCTGAGCCGAAACCAAGAGTTGGATGCTCAACCAACTGAACCACCCGGACGCGACTACCACTTTGGTGTTACAATAGCACTTCCCCATGCAATTTCACATATTAACCTCACAACCAATATTTGTTAAGTGAATGACTGAGTAAATGAAGGAATGAATGTGATTCATTTTTAAATATGTGGATTAATACATATTTTTATCTTAGCACAACACATGTTTTTATTTTCAAATGAATTTTCTTTTTTTTTCCCATTGATAGAATCTCTGTGAAATCTATGTGAAATTGACAATGTCAATTTTACATAGTCTTACTGCAAAGTAGGTATCATCATCATGAAGAATCACTCTGTGACAGCATAAACTAGGGAAAGCAGTCTCTATTACCTAACAGTGAGATTTTTGGCATTTGAACTAGTTGATTTGGCTGGAAATTTAATCATTTCATTCTTGATTTTTATTCCTACAAAAGCAACATTCTTGACCCTGTCCTGTTTTTAGGGATGAGAGAATGACTTGCTCTTCCTTATTGCTATACGATTGGTAGGAAGTTGCCATGCCTTCCACCTACTTAAGCTAGCTTGCCTAGTGACCCAGATGCTAGCCATGTTTTCTATGATTTATCCAGCTATAGACAGAGCCCATGGTGTCGGATGATATTTCTTACTTTTTGTCCTTGCCCACCTATTCCCAACTTAGATGTTCAATAAAATCTATTTTATGAAACTTTTTTTTTACAACCATCTTCCTATATGTTGAGGGATACTTGCACTGTATATTGTTAATGCTGGATGAAAAGTAGAATTCCAAAGCTATTTCTTTAGATTGTTAAATCTGCTAATGGTGTATTTCTGACTGTTGGATTGGTTGGTGTCCTTAAAAGGAAGGCATTTTAAGTAGTGCCATGTTTTAGGAAAATGTTTTGTTTAAAAAGTTTACTAATGTTATTTTCTCTTTTTTTTTTTCAAGTTGCTCTTTTGCTTCTAATATTCATTTTTATTCTAAAGAGGATGCCTAGTTAAATGTGAATTTCAGATAAACACCAAAAATTTTTGGTGTAGTTGCATGAACATCTCATATTTTTATTTGCTAAACCTGACAACCCTACGTAAAAGATCTCTAAAGTTTATAGTAATGACATTAAGCCCAACATTCATTCTCTTAAGGGGTTTGTACAGAGTGCTATGGCAAAATGAGTATAGACAAAGTAGAATAGTTCTGCCACTGATTAAATTCATGACTTTTGCCAAGGCACTTGACCTCTCTGGGCCTCATTTTCTTTATCTGCAAAAATTTTAAAGTTGAATTAAATGGCTTCTAAATTCTGTGACTAAAATGATTTTCAAATTTTTCCTTCTCAGTATATTAGTAAAAGTAAGGAATTCAAAGCAAAAGGTTAGTGAAAATATTAAGCAGTTGGTTATCATAAAGTTTCATATATGTATATGTTACTTGTAGTTTTATGATAACTGTGGAATACCTAAGAAGATTTTCTAGAAGATGTGGGACTTGAACATGGCCTTAGTAGGTTTTATGATATTTGCAAAGGAGGACACTAGGTCATAGGGAATAACATAAGTCACAAGTAAAATGTATATTTAGGAAATGGTAAGTAGACCATTTGGATATTCATGGGTTTATATTCCTAAATTTACAGTAGTAGCTCTATAGAGAGTAAAGTTTGTTTCTCACAGTATTAAAAGATACATGTCTACTCGGTGCAACATTCTTCACTTTTAAAACAGAAATACTGGTGAGATATTTTATAGAAGGGTGGGAATTGGATTAAGGAATTGCCTTTGGAGAAAAGAAATTAACTGAGTTCTAGTTGCTTTTCATTTAAAGGTATAGTCTCAAAATAGACCACACTTTCCCCAGTGAGACAGTAGGTGAATGCTTCTACATCTTTGCTTGATTACCTCAGCCTATGTGAATTTCCACTTTGACCCGAGTTCCTTAGCAATTAAAAACTATGACCAACTTTTAAAATTCTTTTTATTCAAACAGTACTTTAGATACTATTGGAAAGAAATTTTTTAAAATAACATCAACTTTTTAAAAGTTTTGTTAAATCCAGTTGTTTTTGTTGTTCGTTTTTTAAGTAAGCTCTAAAGCTCTATGTCCAATGTGGGGCTTGAACTCACAACCCCAAGATCAAGCAAGAGTCACATGCTTTACTGACTGAGCCAGCCAGGCACCCCAGAAGAAAGAGTCTAAAGTCAAATACATTTGGGAAATGCTGCCTTGTCTGTGCCCCTTTAAAAATGTTACAACCCATTTTAGTACATTGAAGGCCTACATAAGAAGCCTGTTTCTCAAATATGTTTAATCTTTGACCTCTTCTGTGAATGATTTCTACTAACATCCTGTGGAATTACTGTTATTTGCAGCATGCTTTGGGGAACATTGATTTGTAACCTATAATTTTGTAATTGATGAAGTTGCCTATTTCATATATAAATATATAAAACATTTAAAGTTCTAATATAGTACATCATTCTCAGATACATCATTTGATTTGATTCTTAGACTTATTTACCTGGTTTCTTTTTCATACCATTATTTCAGTCAAATAATTTTGAAGACTTCACCTGCCTAAATTAGATCATTTTTAAGGAATTCTACCCCTAAGATTCTATCCTATAATCATAGTTTATTCTTGTGTGGACTTCTGTGGTCAATGCTGATTCTTTCTTTATACCTATTGCCAATATACTATTTTTCTTTCATAGTCATTTACTTGTGGTTACTGGTAAAGCAACTTCCCAATCTAGAATGTGCCTCTGTTGTATTATCAACCTATTTAGTATAGTTAAATGAGGAACTTAGCATTTTAAACATATTTAAAATTCAGAGATGGTACCGTGATATTTTTTCTCCAAGCAATATTTTACAAAGATGGCTTGCCCTAGAGAGATGTAAATATGAGTTAGGTATGCTAGCACTATGATTTTCATCTTTGCCTAAGAATATTGTAGAACAGATTTCTTTAACAGATATATAGGTGTTGTTGGATACATTTGGATACAGACTCAACAAAGATTTGGACTGGTATAGACTTAATATAACATTTTTTTTAATGTTTATTTTTGAGAGAGGGAGAGAGAGGGAGAGGAAGAGAGAGAGAGAGAGAGAGAGAGAGAGATGAGTGTGGGCAGAGGAGGGACAGAGAGAGAGAGGAGACACAGAATCCAAAGCAGACTTCAGGCTGTCTGCGCAGAGCTTGACATGGAGCTCAAACTCTCGAACCGTGAGATCATGACCTGAGCTGAAGTTAGGTGCTTAACTGACTGAGCCACCCGGGTGCCCCCTTAATGTAGCTTTTTAAGAACATTTATTTTGAAATATTTCAGACTTCTGAAAGGTTTCAAGATAGAAAAGAACCCTGTATACTCTGACCCAGATTCATCAGTCTAACATTTTGCCGCATTAATTTTCTCTCTCTATATATGTGTGTGTATGCAGGTATGTATGTGTGTGTATACACACACACACATATACATCATACACAAACACATATGTATGTAAATGTTTCTGAAACATTTGAAAGAGGGTTGCACACATCATATCCCAGTACCCCTTTGTACTTTAAGGTGTATTTCTTAAGAACAAGGCTGTTTGTTTATATAATCAAAGTACAAGTGATTTAATGTCAGTATCATACTTTGATCAGACTTAGAGCCTATATTCCACTTTCGTCACTTGTCCCAGTTGCATTCAATTGTACATTATAATTTTTTTTCAGTACAAGATCATGTCATGTATTTAGTTGTCATATCTATAGTCTTTAAACAGGACTAGTTCTTTAGCTATTCTTTTTTGCTCGTGACCTTGACATTTTTAAAGAAATCCCTCCATTTGTTTTCTTCTGATATTTCCTCATAATTAAATTGAGGGGTTGTTTTTTTTAGACTGGAATGCTATATAAGTTGTGTCCTTCTCACAGTATTATATCAAGAGGCACATGATACCCATTTGCCGCTACTAGGTGATGTTGATTTTCATTAGTTGGTTAAGATATTGTCTGGTTTCTTAACTTCATGGTTATTATTTTTACTTTTACAGTAAGTAATTTGAGATGACATACTTTGATATTTACATTTGACCCTTGAAAAATGCAGGATCTTAGGGGTGCCAACCACCCATGCAGTCAGAAATCAGATTATAACTTTTGACTGCCCAGAAATTTGGCCACTAATAGCCTACTCTTGACTGGAAGCCTTACTGATAACATGAACAGTTCATTAACACAATATTTTGTATGTTATATGTGTTTTATACTGAATACTTATGATAAAGTAAGCTAGAGAAAAAATGTTATTAAGAAAATCACAAGGAAGAGAAAATACATTTCCAAGATGGTACTGTATTTATTAGAAAAACCCATGTGGAAGTGACCTGTGCAGTTTCAAGCCTGTATTGTTCAAGGTCAACTGTACTAATTTTAATTTGCTCAATACTACAATATGTATATAATAGTTTCAGAGTCTCTATGTGTATACCAATGTGAAAAAGAAACCCACTAAGGAGTTTAAGATTTGTTTGCAATTCTTTTTTCTTCTTCTTTTTTGGTTTGTTTTACCCTTATAATGCTTTTATATGTTTCCCAGTTTTATTGAAATATAATTGACATATGGCACTGCATATTGGTTAACATCCGTCATCTCATGTAGTACAATATAATTCTTCTTTCTTTAGATTGATAATATATGGTCAAAATACTGTGTTCTGAAGTTGCTTGGGTTATTCCTTTGAAATATATTTGGGTTTATTGGTTTTTGGTTTCTGTTTTCATTTAGTTGTAGTGACTTTTTTGCACCATCCTTGTTGATTTAATTTTGTTTTTTTGAATATATAGAACATTATATGATTTCCAAATTATATTAATTCCAAAAGTCAAAACTCGACAAAAGTGATAATCAGAAAGGTATTGCTCCCTCCCTGTATCTCTTTTACCTCTTTCCTACCCCTCACTCCCTGCTAACCCTTGTAGGTAACCAGTTGGTTTTATCCTCATTTTTGTTTATATATATATATATATATATATATATATGTTTTTTCTCCTCTAACAAAATATATTTAATCTTTTGCAATTTGTGTTGTTCATTAACAGTATATCCTGGAAATTACTCCATACAGTCCCTAGATACCTTCCTCATCCTTTTTTTGCAGCAGCACAGTACTCTGTTGTGTGTATGTACCATAGTTTATTCTACGACTTTCCTATGGGCATTTAAGTGTTTTCTAGTATCTTGCAATTACAAATAATACTACAAAGAATAATGTCCTTCTGTATTCTTGGATTTTCAGGGTAAATACCCTAGGACTTGGATTGCTAGATTGGAAGGTAAATGCATTTGTAGTCTTGGTAGCTAGTGCCAAAGTCTCCAAGGGGTTTGTACCATTTTACACTCCTGTTGGCAGTGTAGCATAGCTCTCAGACCTACAAAAGAGAAGACATTTCGGTCTCACGAGTCGTGAGGTGACAGGTCACAGCTATAACTCCTTAAAGAATTCCAACTTTGTGAGGTCTCCAGGAAAGGCCCGGTCAAACCAGCATCCTCCCAAAGTGGCTTGAGAACACCTAGAAGAAGTTCAGGAATTATCCCAAATCCCAGAGAGGTTATAGATACCCGGAGGA